TTTGCTCTGTTTTATTTTGTGAAACCTTACTACGTATATGGAATAACCGTTTTATAAAAGCAATAACCCCCGTGAAGCCGTGGTTTACAGTGAATTTATAACAGCTAAGGGGGTTAGCTCCGCTTCGCGTCGTGCCTAACAACGTCCCTTAGCTGTTATAAATTCACTGTAAACCACGGCTTCTTGGGGCTTATTGCTTTATTATGTAACAAAAGTTTTTTTTAGTTCACTATAATAATGGTTTGTGGTTGTGGCAGATAGTATGTTGTTTATCTAGCATAATTTAACTAATTGTCATAATAAATATCTAACATTATTCGACATGAGTTTTTTAGATCTCTAGAGAGAGAATGTTAGAGGCTTCTGATTGGCTGGATGTTTTGTTGTAGGCGTGGCTTACTGAGATCCATGAATATGCTCAGGATGATGTGGTCATCATGTTGCTTGGCAACAAGGTAAGAAGACTTTGAGCTTAGATCTCGTGTTATATAAGCCATAACTCTGCACGCAGTGTAACTGTAACTGTACGTGTCGTCTCTACAGTCAGATATGACCAGCGCTCGAGCGATCAGACGAGACGAGGGAGAGAAACTCGCCAGAGTGAGTCTCAATCACTGTGTTTCAGATCTGATCATGAGCGAGCGTTTCTGTCGGCTCTTTAGTTCCCACAGTCATAGAAACATGGAAAAAATATGATCTCAGAAGTCATGGAAAGCCTTCAATCTCTCTATTAAGCCTTCAGAAATCATAGTAATATGCTGATTCGCTGCTTTAAGAAACAGTCTGATTATTATCAATGTTGAAAACATTCGTGCTGCCCAATATTTTTGTGGAAACTGTCAGAGATTACCATTTAAAAAATGTATTATTAAGAAATTTATTCAGAAAGGATGTATTAAATTGATCAAAAGTGCTAGTAAAAACATTAATAAAGTTACAAAATGTTTCTATTTTTAGTAAATGCTGTTCTTTAGAAAAATATCCTGAAATCCTGAAAAATAAAATGCATCACGGTTTCCACAAAGATATATTGTGCAGCACGACTGTTTTCAACATTGATAATAATCAGAAATGTTTCTTGAGCAGCAAATCAGCATATTAGAATGATTTCTGAAGATCATGTGACACTGAAGACTGCAGTAATGATGCTGAAAATACAGCTGCGCATCACAGAAATACATTACAGTTTAACAGATATTCACATAGAAAACAGCTGTTTTAAATTATAATAATATTTCACAATTTTTACTGTTTCTTGATCAAATAAATGCAGCTTTGAACAGAAGAGACGTCTTTCAAAAACATCACAAAATCATAAATATTTCAAACTTTTGACCGATTGTGTGTATATATGTATTACTGAATGTGTACAGTATGTATAAGCTAGTACAGCTTTAATTATTCTTTCTGAACCAGTTCACAAATTACAAGACAAGTAATACCTAATTCATAATTAATGTACATTTATTGGTCAAAATTTGGATTGGGAACCCAAACAGTAAGAGCTTTATTCACATTAACTCCTTCAAACTTGGTTTTTGCAGGAATACGGAGTCATTTTCCTGGAGACCAGTGCCAAAACCGGACTCAACGTCGACGAGGCCTTTATGACGGTGGGAAAGTGAGTTTCTTCCAGCATGCTTGCAGAACTGACTTACAATTATAAGAAAACTGAACAGTCTAAAAGTCTCAGAGGTGTAAAGAACATACTTGTTGTGAAAGTACAGATACCTTACGTCAAAAATGACTCCGTCACAAGTCGCCAATTACAAAACAACTTGAGTAAAAGTCTTTGAGTATCTGATTTGAACAGTACTTAAGTATTTTACTCGTAAAATGAAAAAGTCAAAGCCTTCTTGCACTAGACGTGCTGGTTTCAGCCTCATCTGTGTCCCTGCAGCACAAAAGCAGTGTTAAGTCGCTGGGGTATATTTGTAGCAATAGCCAACAATACATTGTATGGGTCAAAATTATACATTTCTCTTTTATGCCAAAAATCATTAGGATATTAAGTAAAGATCATGTTCCATGAAGATGTTTAGTAAGTTTCCTACCGTAAATATATCAAAACTTAATTTTTGATTAGTAATATGCATTGCTAAGAACTTCATTTGAACAACTTTAAAGATGATTTTCTCAATATTTAGATTTTTTTGCTCCCTCAGATTCCAGATTTTCAAATAATGTCATATCCTAACAAACCATACATCAATTGAAAGCTTATTTATTCAGCTTTCATATGATGCATACATCTCAATTTTGAAAAATTGACACTTAAGACTCCAGGGTCACATATTTTAGTGAAAGATTAAAGAAAAAGTCTGGATTTCCTTTGGGAATAGCATATATCATTGATGTTTGTCTGGACTCACTCTGCTGTTCTCGGCCGGTGCCCTTGTCTTTAGCGGAGACGTGCACGATCCCGTTAGCGTCGATATCAAAGGTGACTTCAATCTGAGGAACACCACGAGGAGCCGGAGGGACGCCGACCTGTTCAGCACATAAATACAACATCTGAGCCATGACTGGATATGAAAAAACACGTTTATGGTCTTCTCTAGCATGCTTCCTAATCTAGATGTCTAATAAACCTAGCACTGCGTATTATGAGTGTTGCTGGCTCTTTGTGCCTCTTCTGTAAGTCTGGATAAAAACGTCTGCTAAATGCATACATGTAAAGGTGCATGTGAATGTTTTGTACCAGGGTGAACTGTCCCAGAGTCTTGTTGTCTGCAGCCATCTCTCGCTCTCCCTGACAAACCTTGATCTCTACTTGAGTCTGTCCATCAGCAGCGGTGGAGAA